TCGAATGTCTTTCCTATTTAGAGAATAAGAGGAACCCCAGGCAGAAGGATCTTGATATGTATTCTGTGTTGCTTGTATAGAAGTTTTGTGTGTGCCTGGAGATTTTGAGATTTGGAAGCATCATTCCTAGCATAACGTAGTTTCTCTCTGCCTACGTGTTGTGGTCAAAGGCCTTTACATAAGCATTTTGCCAGAACACATTACTGATGGAACATTTTGCTGAGTGTAATTACATTCTGCTACGGAATTTGAAATCTTTCTGTGTTCTAATGTCTATTGAAAGACGGTCCTGAGATTTGAGCTTGGACTGTGAAGGTGTCACTGACCTTGTGTTCTTGTTTTTTCTGTCAACAAGAATGGAAATATTTATGTTCATACCAGTGACTGCAAAATCTATTAATAAGCAAGAGCTGCTGATGAGAAGAAATAGCGTGAACAGGAAAGCACAATTGAACCCAGAACAGTGACAGTTTCATCAGAATAGTACCTTTTACAGTACATCAAACATGAATAATTTCCTATCTGTTGTATCATTTTAGTTAAGTAATTGGAAATCCTATTGATCTGCACAGGGCTTAAAATAATGCAGTCTCAGCAGCAGGGCTGTGATTTCTACAAAGAGGTATTGTTGTCCATTACTATTAGAATAGCAGCACCCACATCTACAGCAGCTGAGCTTGTATTAGCACCATGTCAGGAGCTGCAGGCCTCAGCTAGCTTATAAATCCTCTGATTTAGGACTGGTATGAATGAACAGAGCTCCACATGTTTCTAACCTCACTGATAAATCTGAAGTATGTTGGTTTACCATTGCTCTTCATTTTGAATGTGTCAAACTGACTCAAGAGTTTATATCCTTTCTGTCACTGCACTTTGCAGAGATGTTTTATCAACTTACTGTCTCCAGAAAAAGGGTTATGAGCAGGACCAACACCAAACAACCGAGGAATTCCTCTGAAACGTTGTTGAAAGACCACCTCTCTCTTTCTCTCCTGCTCTGTCCTTCCTTCCCTGTTTCACTGATGCGCCATGTGGGTGACTGGCTTGTCTAGACTCTTCTCTGTTCACAGTGGATCTCTGCTGCTGTCCTCTCATTCGCCATGCACTAATTAGTAGCATAAATCCCATTTTGAGGCACTGAAAAATCTGAGACAGCAAGGGTGTGAGAAGGGAAACCAGCATGATTTCCCAAGAAACCATGAAGCAAGAAGCATCTGTTCAGAACAGAGCAGTGATACAAAAGCAGTTGTAACAGTGTAGTAACACTACAGAAGTCAAGGCAACTTGCAGTAGCATTCATTTCAGCTGCACAAGTTTCTGCTTCCTTTGGATGTGATAATAGTGCCCAGCATGGCAGTCACCCTGCTATGCTTAATTCTGCAGAGTTTATCATGAATTTCCTGCCTGTCTGGAAGATGGCCTAGTTTTTCCACATGGCCTTCTTTCTCGCCTCTTTTCATTCCTCTCAGGATCCTTTCAGAAACAAAGGCAGCATGTTTTTGTTGATTCTTGAATAAATTTAAATATGCTTTTTACTGTTCCAGCCATCCATCTCTTTCTTTATCTCTCTTCCTTTATCTCAATTTTTTCACTCCATCCCATGTGCAAGACAAGCTTGCCAAGAGCTAGTTTCTAAGACACTGGAGTTGTGCCCATTAAGTTGATGGGAGGGAGCGTAATCTTTTCCGAGACAGTGTATGAGCCTATTGCTGATAGCCTTCTGAGTACTGCTTCTCTGACTAGATAAGGAGTTAGATGGTAGAGAAAACCTGTGTCATTGTTGATACAATACAGCTGATTGATTAGTAGCTGTTGAAAACATGTTTATTTTATTCTGAGTCTTCAGTTACAGCACTAGTACGGTAAGTACAGAATTATCTTTCTCCGTGGCTCATATATTATACCAGCACTCCTGAAAGTTTTCCGCCGATTTCTATAGGAGTAGACTGAAACTAAATTGTTGAATTTGTTTTCTTCTGCCTCCATTAGCCACACTACTTAGCTCATGGTGCTAAACTGAGAGCTTCATGCTTCCAGGTGCACAAAGTACATTCCACTTGTGATGTATTTAACAACAGAGGAGGAGAAAAATACCCTCCATAACATTCTGTTCTTTTGCTTAGTTATTAAAATTTTTCAGGGACCCCAACAAATTGCTGAGGTCCAGAAGTCTCCTTTTTCAAAAGTAGAAGCTAGTATTTTCTCCCAAATTGTGGAGATCTGAGAAGTGCTGACCAAGGTTTTCAGAGAGGTTGAGCACTTATAGGTTAAAATAATTTATTTCTGTCAGATCAAATCCAGCTGCTTGAAGTTAGATAGTCAAGAATCAAAGTTTCCAGCATGAATTTTGAAAAGCTGAGAGTTTATCACTGGAGAGCTTTGAAAAATTCCAGCAAACGTGTGCAGATTTAAGTACCTGAATACCATTTGAGAGTTTGCAAAGATTTATTTGCGTTTTCATCCCATAGGCACTTTCTCCTGTGCGTATTCCATTCCCATGCTGCTTTTCCCGGTCTCTGTTATATGTGTAGTAGGTTAAAGTGCTTCAGTTGAATCCTTTCAAAAGTGGAATTGGGAGGAAAGTTGTCCAAGTTCCCTCCTTTCTTACCCTCTTCCTTTCCTCCCTGCCCTGCAGTCTCTGCAAGCGGCATCAGCACTCCCTGTATTCTGTCCCATTGACCATGTGATTTTCCTCCTTATAAGACTTCTAATATGAGATAAACTTTCTCTCAGCATAAACCAATTATGCACTTGCTCTGATTTTTCTGTAGTCCTCTGTATTTCATTCAGCTTTTGCTCAGCCCGATGTGCTTGGACACTGTAAGCATTAGCTCTTTCTCCCCGCCTAGCCTGCACATCATATCACTGACCCCTCTTAGCATTACTGAGCAGTTAGTGCAATCTTTGTGCGGCCTTTCTTGAGATACTTAACACAGAGTTCAGGTTCTGTCCTTAAGTCTGTCAGACACAGCAGACTAGAAAGAGTTGTGCTTTTTTGACGAATGCTTATTTCCCATGTCTAATGCACAGTAGATGACTCATTGGAACAGTGAGATTGCTTTTGGAATCAGAAGCATTCTTTTTGGCCTTGCTGTCTTCCCAATATTTTGCATCTTTGCAAGAACAGACCGTCTGCATCTCTAAAGCTGCTTTTATAACTTGACTCCAACAGAAGTCCTCAGGGATGAATTTGGTCCAGTGAATCAAAATGTAAATAGAAACCTGTAACTGAATTTACAGTTCTGGAGTGCTTATTTTAGACATAAAAAAGGCAAATGGATGTAACAATAGTAGCTTTACATATAGGAATTGCTGATTTGAAATTTGAGTTTGATATAGTAGTCAGAATTGAAACAATTATCAGTGGAATAAACAGGGCTGACTAAAGCTGTGGTTTGATGTGCCTGAGACTGTCTCCTTGAATTATAAACTGGGGTGTTTCTGTGCCCGGTAGAGCCACCATTGGCAGAACGAGTTGCATAAAGCTGAGATTGGAGAGTTTTAGCTGGTAGAAGCAATAATGTGAGGGGTTTTTTGCTTTATCAGAAAAATTGGTTCATTTTCTGATGTTCACTCCATAAACAGAAGATACTGTAAAAACACAGCTGTATCATAAGGTTATAAAGCATCCCCTTCTCACTAAAAGTTGGAAGAATTAGGAAGCAATCATGTGGTTTAGCATAAGAAAGCAAAAATAAACAGGTAAAATATTTATTATGAAATACTGTACAGTATTAAGGCCAGTCTGTTAGCTTATTAGAAATCATTGACTAATTTTTAACCATCACTGTTTGCACACACAAATCATTACCAATGAAGGTTGTGTTCTGGGTTTCCTGTATATACATAAGTCGTATTAATATTGCCTGAGCTACCCTTTCTGTTGTTGAAAAGGACTGAGGCAAATGTGGCTGCTTAGTAAAAAGTTGCTCCCAGAATCTCTAACTTTTTAAACCTTACTTGGTGGCTCAGTGCACTGAGAGCTGTGCCCTGAAGCCCTCACAGGACCTTAGTTAGATCTCTTTCCTCCAAGCCAGGCTGGTGCTGTGGAGAGCTGTGCAGTCGTTTGCTTGATTAAATGTGCCATCTAGTGGTTATGGGGTGATAACTGATTTAAAAAAATGAACACAAAGCCAGTGGGCTTTTTAATGAATTTTTACACCAGCGCGGAAAATGGGTGGAAGTTCACAAACCTTCATATTTACTCCTTTTTCCCCCTAAGTAATAGGCATTCATAGGTCATCATTTGTTTACCAAAGTGCAATTGCTTTCTACTGTCTGTTGTTCACTCCTGTTTTAATGTAACAGCTAAACTTCTGTTTTGTTTATACTTTACTGGTATGCAAACTGGATATTGTACAAAAAGTGTCTGCCAGAGGCAACCCTCTTCTGCTGCACAGTAGCTTAGTGGTTAGCATAGTCATCTGGGTTGTTCAAGAACCAGGGTTAAGTCTGGTTGATTTATTTTGTTTTGGGATTCAGTAGGAGTTTATGTTGTAACACTCAGCCGGAGCGCCTATTCGTTCTTAGAAAACCCTTTGAGAGGTCAAATCCCATCAGGTGTATGCCATTGTTTCATATACTGTTGAAATCCCACAAGAATTGATCAGACTGTTTAAGTTCCACAGAATGCTTGAGTGGAGGAAGTTGAGATGAAAAAGCTTTATTTCAAAGAATGGAATAAAGTAACCTTTATTATTAATCAGGAAAGGAGTTATTTGAGACAACCAACACCTGCCAACTTTAAAAAAGGAGAAGTACATACTGAGAATCTTTGTTTTCTGTGTGTGATGTTTTTTAAGGATGTTATTTATCTCTGGAGACATAGGATCATTTGTCACTCCTCTTCTGGTACAAGTCAGTCCTGGTCGCTGTTGCTCTAAGAATCAAATATATGTGTGGATCCCATCTAATCAAATATTTGTCATCTTGATTTAAAAGGAGTTTCTTTTAGATTGTTGTTGACTTAAAACATTTTTTTCTGTCCCTTTCTCCTCTAGGATATTAAACACAACATCGTTTGAACTATACGAAGCTCTGGGCAATTTTCCTGCCTGGTGGGTCTTAAACATGCTGCTTGCAGTTCTTCAAGTTCTGCACTGTTTTTGGTCTTACCTAATCGTAAAGGCAGCCTATAAAGCTATTTCAAAGGGCAAGGTAAGACAGCACTGTTCAGTTTCATGTTTAACATTTTAACTTTTTCAAAATTCATAGAGGGTCATTGACTTTCTGGTTCATCACACATTGTTGAGGACACTTGTTATATTCTTTTCTTTCTTTAATGGAAATTTTTTCCCCTCCTTTTGATAAATACCAAATAAATCAACATGCTATTGTTGGTGACTGTATTTATATATGCTTCTGCACTTCCTTTTTATAATCTGGTGCACTGAACCCAATCACAATTAGGGAAATTAGATTAAAAAAAAAAAAGAGGAAGCAAACGGGTTTCTGTGGGCTGTCGGTTCTGTTATTCTTCTTTGTATTGGTTGTTAGAAAAGTGTTCATTTCCCAGCTAATAGAGGTAGTAATAATAATGCATATTAAAACTTATACTGTCTTTGTTAGTGGCAAAGTTACAGATCACAACCTCCTTTGGTCTTTAGTATTAGTGAGGCTTTGCAAAGGGCTGTGTATACTCTTTCTAGGAATCCCATAGCAAGACCAGTTGTGTTGAAATGTAGTATCTTGCAGCCATTGTCATACTTAAAAGGGAGATGTAATTCACAGAAATGCTAACCTCGGTACACTTTCTATGCAGGTACTGCACTCAAATTTAGATGATCAAAATTGCATTTATATACCTAGTCATGTAAAGTGCAAAAAGGCATTTTTCCCCTAAACGGTAGAGCACCTAAGTAGATACTTTAAACATAAGACCACCCAGAAGTGAACGGGATTATTTCTGCAAATAGCAGCTTTCTATGAATGTATTTGAGGGCTTAGCCTCTTGCTGGACTGAGCACGGAATCTGCCACTCACTCCCTCACTCTGTATGAAGGACAATGCAGTTGTGAACTGTGTTTTGCCTGGAAGCCACAATTCTTTTCTCCTCTGCTTTGGCAATTATTAGCCTCAGCTGTCCTGTTTGAATTAAACTAGTGACTTCAGAGTGTGTTACATCCTCTCCCTTACTTTGCTTGTTTGTCCTTCTCCTTGTGCTATGCTGGAAGGCTGGGAAGTGGAACCCTTTGCATGTAAGTTCCTTTAAATTCACTATGCAAAAGATTTATTCTGTGCAATACTATTTTTTTTTTCTTTTGCAGTTTCTGTAGTTCATATCTGATGTTTATGTTTCTATCTGATGCTTATGTTTAAGGAAGGCTGTCTTCAAAGCTTGATTTTACTTGTTGTTTATGCGTTATCTAACACTATTCAAACCCACTCTTATCTGTAGTATCTGAGTACTGTTACATTACAACCATTTTTATGCTTATGTATTGGCAGAGCATTATGATGCTCTGTCATCATTCAGGAGGCATAAGTCCTCAGCCTTGTAGTTCAAATACTTGTGCAGAATGAGAAAATTTAGACTGCATGAGAGTGGCAGGGTAAAGTACTCCCAGTAAGAAAATGACCAGGGCAAAGATGCACATACACAGCTATAGGATTCTTCCTTTAAATCTTAACTTCCTTCGTCACACCCAGTCCTGTTCTTTCAATTTCTACAGTAAAATAAGCAGGCTTTTGCAACACATGAAAGATGTTGTGCAATATATATTCATTTCTGATTATTGTTTTATTGTTGCATTCCCAGCACCCTCCTTTGGAACAGTTCCGGGGATAAGGCAGTTTATTATCACTAAATTTGTAATTGTGGTCATCTAATTCTTATTCTCTATTATACTTAGCAGTTTTATAGACCTAGATATATATTTTCAAAACACCTTTTACAGGAATGACTTCAGTGTGTTCTTTTGGAGGATAACCAAAGGGAATTAAGTACTACAAGATGTGCCGCATTCATATCAGGTTTTAACTGCAAAGACCCTGGTATGTTGCTGCAGTTTAAAAATAAGAGATCTGGTCACATCCTTGAATCTTGTTTTGGTTATTTGGCTTCAGGATAGGACCCTAGCAGAAGACTTGGCCATGTAATCTAATATACTAGGAGAGTTTAAAATGATGCAGAACTAGTAGATCATTTAGTCTGACCTTGCATGTGTCTCAGGCACTCAGTACCCCATGCTGGGCCCGTTGACTTTGGTCTGATGAAGGAGTAATTCTGAGTGTATCACTGTTTCCCCAACAGCTTTAATATAAAAGCCCCTTTATATAAAGGAGACTGAAATAATCTGTTAGTTGAAGCAATATTAAGTATAGAAGCAAATTTCTGACCTCAGCGGAAGTCCAGTTTCATTGATGTCAGAACTGCAGGCTTGCTAGACATCAGCATTAAAAACTATATTTATTACCAGATGCATGGGAACTGTGTGATTTGTTTTTTTTCTCTATTACAAAGAGAGTAGTGTCAGTTGGACTTAATTGCAAGAATGGTAGCAGCACTGGGAGCCTCAAAGGCAAAGGGCCATTTATGAGGCAAGAAGTGGGGGGCACAATTGTCATGAGGGCTTTCTAGAGTAGAGAAGGATTGCTATAAGTAAAAAATACATGCAGTGACATTTCCTGTTCTTTAATTGTTTTGATTTTTTTAGGGAAAAGGCTTGCCAGATGTTTTCCCCCCATTGTTATCCATTTGCTATGATAAAGTCAATTGTAATTGCCAGATGTGGCAACCTGCACAGCATGGATAGATTCTGAAAGAATAGAAAGCTCAACTATACAAAGAAGGATGGAAACAGGCATGGAAAGGAATATTTTTTAGCTGCATAAACTTGGACTTCAGACCTCTTTCTGTTGGTGCTTTTACCAGTCTTGGAGCTTTTTTCAAGACCAGACTGGATAAAAAGCCTTGAATAACCTTGCCTGATCTCATAGCTGACCCTGCTTTGAGCAGGAGGTTGGGCTATCTACCTCCTGAAGACTCTGCCCACCTGAATTATCCTGTGATCCTACATGTTGGCAGTGCCGTTGTTACCTCCCTGGGAAAAACATCCCTGACAAATAAGGCAGGAAGGGCTTTTTCTTTACAAGATTTTCTTTGGTTTTGCCCTTGTCTTACTCTCTTTGCTCTGCCTGTCTTTGGCTTCCCTATGTTTGTATTCATGTGGGGTGCACCTGACTGATCGCAGTAGAGAGGAGTCACTTCGGGAGTTCTGAAGGGATGTAATGTCCAGCTCTCAAACTTAGCAATCTTCACCTATCAATTTCAAAGAGCTGCAAAGAAAGGGAGAGCACTCCTTAATCTAAAGAATACATGTAACTAGTAAATGGATATAAACTGGCAGGAATGAAGTTCGGCTGGAAGTCAGCAGAAAATCCCTATTAATTCAGGTCAGTTTCTGAAACAGCCTTCCAGTGGCATAATGGTGCAGGCAGCTGAACTGCTCAGTAAGGTTGTGGTTCCTGCAATGGGGACAGGACTGAACTATGGTCACCACCCTCACTGTCTGAGAACAGAGATTGGAGTTACCTGGTATGGTAAGTTACATGTAGGCCAGTACTCGCATCTCCTACTCCTAGCCTCTAGCCCTGTTCCATGGGGAACATGGCCACCAGAGAATGAGAGGGAGGAGAAAGTTAGTGTGAATATTTTATATTTATCCTGACATGATGAGATCGTAGAGAAGCATCCCAAAGGAAGCACAGGAATCCCTGCACCAGATATTTGTCTCCACATGTATTAAAGATACAAGAAATAAACTTATAGTACAAGGGTAAAGGGAGGGTAGCTAGACTGAACTAGAGAACTTGGACTGTTGTTTCCTTTAGTCTGTGCACAACCCTTTGCCTTAACCTTGTGCCTTCACTTGGATGTACTAACCTTTGATGCATCAGTGCAAAGTTCTTGCTTGTCTTTGCGCACCGAGTTTGCATGTATAGGCATCCGTGTTTGAAATGAATCTAGGCAGGCAAGGGCAGAGAAGTATGCCAGAACTGAGACTGCTTTCAAAGCTCCGTTTGAAAAAAGCTTGAATTCTCTGATTCTGGCTGAACCAAAAAGGTATTCCCTTAAATATCCTACTGCTTATTTTTGTTTCTCAAATTCTACAGGTAACAAAGGATGACCGAAGTGACATTGAGACAAGCTCAGATGAGGAAGAAACAGTACCTCGTTCAAAGACCCTACACAGCCCTATCACCAGTAATGGGACCGGTGGTGCCAACGGGACAAATGGGTATCTTACCAGTGGCACGTGCTCAGAGGAGCATTAATCCTTGCGTTCAATCATGACAGACGAGCAAAAGGAACTGTTTGCTACTGGAAGTAAATTATAAATCGTGAATGCGGTTTCTTCATATATCACAGCATCAGAAAAAGTTAGGAGTATCAAAGCGTTCAGTACACTGCCATATTCCCTGTTTGTGAATGAAGACGACGCACCATTCTGTATACGTAGGCGCATGCTGTATGTGTATATAAATGACACAATGGGAGCAGTATTTTCATTTTTACTGTCTTTGAAATATTATTTATTTTGTATACTTTCTGGGAACTTCTGGACAAAAGGGAATATCCTTACTCAAACTTAGCTCTTTGGATTCTCAGTGGTGGGGAGCATCATGCTCAGATATCTTCTGTCCATGCCTGTTGCTTTCACTGAGTCTGCTATAAGTAATAGTTGCTTGATTTGTTACTTAAAGTAAGATAGAACATAGCTTTACAGATTCTAGCTCGCTTCAGATATTTTTGCTTATTTTTGTGTTTAAAGTGCTGGTTTTAAAATTGCCTATCAATTCACAGTGGCTGTTTCTCCAACATAAAGTTTTAAAACATTGGATTGGTATTTTAAATAGTAGCTAATGTGGTCAATTAGCAATTGAAAGAAAGAAAACCTGTGGTAATTTTGGGATATTATTTTAGCATAATTTGAAATTCAAAAATGGTGGTTAATTGCATTAGAAGTAGACTCGATCAGTTGTGCATATACTCGTACGCGCAACAATTTATGTCAACAGTTAGGATAAGCTCTTACTCATATTATTTTTGCCGTGCAATTTTTTTAAGATTTCAGCTTGCAAAATTCTTCAATTCTTCAATTCTTTCAATTTGCAAAATTTCAGCTTTTTGCACAGATACTGTGTTGAAAGATGTTTGGTCAGTTGTGCCATCCAGGACTCACTCCTGAAACTGTTCTTGCAAGTTCAGAAGGATGAGAGCAGGGATATAATGGGAAAAAAAAACAGCAGATGAAAGGTCATTGCTTTCCTGGATACAGCTCAGTCTAGGTATTGTTCTTACAATTATTGCCGCTTTCTTGATAGGCTGAAGAGAGGATAGAAGGCAGAAGGTTATACGTAACTAGAAGAAGTTTATTTTAAATGCATGAAAGCTTGAGCAAAAGTCACTTAACATAATTCACAGCAAGCTTTGAAGGCCCAACAGTATTTTATCACCTCTAGAAATAAAGTTAAGGGTGGTCATAAAATACTTTCACTCTCCTGTTCTAGCCAAGGTTTAGGAACTGTGTTCCCAAAGGAGACAAAGTAACACCCAAAATAAACATCTTTTTTAATATTATGTATACACACTTCTTCCAGTTTTTAGAACAAAGTTTGATGTTGTATTGCTAAGGATCATACAACTCTTGCAGAACACTTCTCTGTGATTATTAACAGCAGTGCCAGAAGTAGGAGAGGTTCCTGGGCAACAGACTCTATGCAACCTACTCTTCAACAGTATTGTGTATGTGCACGCAAAACCAATGTGCTTATAGACCAAAGAGACACAGACACACACAGACACACACACCACACACACACACACACACACACACACTCTCTCTCTCTCTCTCTCTCTCTCTCTCTCTCTCTCTCTCTCTCTCTCTCTCTCTCTCTCTCTCTCTCTCTCTCTCTCTCTCACGCACACGCACACATTTACGTATTTTTTCATATATGTGTGTGTGTATACACACACACACACATATATATATGTGAGTAAAAGAAAGGAACAAACCAGGAAAAAATTGTAACAATGTCTGCTATGTAGAAAGGAATTGGAGTGCCATGTTCAGTTGGGACACTACACCGGGAAATATTTCTGATTCCTTATACCTATGCAAATAGCAAAATATAGATGGTTTCTGATGCTATAAAACGTGTTTAAAGCTTCTATGTATACAGAGTGTACTAAAGAAAGATGTGTTGCCACTTCTTTCTTTTGAAAAACTGAAATTTGTTCTGTTCTGTAGGTGGCTCTTGAAAACTTCTTAAACCTTTATTACTCATAGGGACCATTGTGTGTTAGCCAGAAATGCACTGAAAGTAAGGGCAGAATGTCATGAATCCAAATAGCACTTCTGCTTAGCAGAGGATAAAGATAAGAAAAATGAAAACTTGTAAATCATGGAAAAAAGCTGTGAGTTTTACTACTGTATGTTCAAATGTATAACCCACAGCGCATCTTTTGAAAAATCCAGCTGCCATCTTTGTAATTCAGCAGCTGCGTAGGTTATACGTCCATGAGTATATTTGAGGGAGCGGGAGAGTCTTACTTAGATCTCCTCCCGCAGAAGCTTCTCTGCCTCTGATTTTTCTCATCTCTCTCCTGTGCCTCTGATTTTTTGCAGGCTATCTGCAGGTCATGTGAAATAGAGTGATACAAGTGAAAATAGAGTGATTGCTATAGAAAGTACCCTATCTACAGTATTTGAAATGGCACTTGTTTAATAATTACTGTCAAGATGGTAGGTAGATTTTAAAACAAGACCATCTTGGGATATATTAAATAAATATAATAACTTCTGAAATCTGACCTATTAAGATGGCCATTGAGAATAACAGTTTAAACACCCCTTTTTCATGATGTTGATTCTACCTCCACACCCTTATGCAAAGATAGTTACAAAAATATAGATGTCCAAGAATGAGCTGTGAAATTTTGAAATGCCCCAGAATTCTGACTGTTGGCAAAATATTTTATCTTGCCCTGAGGGCAGAATGTTGCTGTAAAGTATCAGTGTACACCCATGGTACTGTAGCTTCTTTGATACTGGTGTAGAGAGTAATTCCCTTTCAGAATCCCGTGCAAGAGAGGAGAGCTTAGGCCTCTGTTGGTCCTCTCCAGCTGTGCTATGTGTATCGTTGATTCAGCCAGCCAAGGTTGGCACCCCTGAGCTGACCCACCAGTATTGGTTACATATGCTCTTTGTGTGCCCCCATTGTTAAATAATGCAACTTGAATTGAAACTCTTCTACTGAGGTTTAAATTAAGTTATATTTGTGATGCACTGAAACATGTACGCAGTTACCATGGTTCAGCTGACCCTTAACAAGCAACCTGTTTATCTCCTGTAACCTAGGCATGTCCTGGAGTCCTTTCTTCACGGCCTGAAATAAACTTGATATAGGTGTTTCTGGAAAATAAGAGAGATGAGACGTTCAGATGAGACGTTTGTGCAAATGGAATAAGAATAAGGAAACATCTTCACTAAACTTCACTGAATAATAACTAAACTTTCAAACTACAATTTTCTATGGAAATGAAAAATTCACTCAAATTTTTCTCTCTTTAGTGGGAAAGACCAAATGCTTTAGTGATCATACTTGGCGTTGTGTTTTGATTCATTGCTTTAGGCAGTGAGTGTGAAAACTTTGGCTCCATCTTCCACTCCTCAGAGAGAATGCCATGCAGTGCTTTTCTTTTTCATTTGAACTTGTTTGCTTCTCTGCTGAAAAGCTTTGCAAAGTGCTTTTGGAGGCCATTAAGCATTTAGAGGATAATCACACGAATTCCAGAAAACTTATTGAAGTGATTCTCACAGCTCATGGTAAATGCGAGGTCTTAAAAGGTTCTGTACATTAGTACCTTTTGTAGAATTGTCATTTTAGTCATGTTAGAAATTAGGCTTTGTATCCTATAACCTATTTGTCTTCAACTTCTATGCTCCCTTTTTATAGTACAGTACAAGACACAATGGATGAGATGTTGAAGTAGCAATAAGAAGAAATGATATGTAGACTTTGTTAGTAAATAGTGAGAATTTGTCTTCTATCTCTAGCCAGCCCAGAATATAGTAAGAAAGATTCAGATCTCCTTTTATTTACTGTTTTCCATATTGACATGCATTGTACCAAAAGAGAAATCTGGCTTTTTTTCATAAAAAGCTAAAAAAAAAAATGCAGAAAATGGTAGAAATATCTGATCAAACCACAAGGGTGGACTTTGGAGTCATTTGGATCTTGATCAATGTTAAGTAGTGCTAGTTCTAAAATACCAAAGTGTCCCATGCTGTTTCCTTGTTGCCATTTTGTAGTTTTTTGTATGTATTATTTGTTTAATGATTCCAGCAGAATCGGAGCAGGTGTCACAGCTTCCTTCTGGAAGCCTTCAGATGCTCTCGTTTCAGCCTGTGAACATTCTGTACAATCGCCGTTGCCAAATCCTTTTTCTGAGACCCAACAACGTGCACTGAAGTTTTGCTTACGTTGAAGTGGTTTGTGTCTTAAATCTGTGTCCGTTTTGAGTGAAAATCACTTTCTGCTTCTAAATGGAACACAACAGCAAAAGTGGTTACCCTGCAGCAAATGCCAGTGATAATCAACAGGAGTTGATTTAGACACTGCAAATGTTTTGCACAGACTATTCTAGTAGGAAGCCTAATGCCTGTTTCATTCATCTTCTCATTATTGCAGCCTTCTGTATTCTCAGAGGAACATAGGCTATCATTGGTTTTCTACAGTTGATGCTTTAGTATTTTTTTAATCTATTTGCTACAACTCATTTTTGTATGTCTCCTATTGTCTACTTCTTGTGACGTTTGTGTGAGAGGAGCTATTGAATACTTTTTACCCTTCCTGTAATGTAGACCCTACGAAGCCTAACTTAGTGTTCTGCAAACTGCAGTTGCCTTTAAACCATAACGCAAAACTAGTTTATGTTATTTATGTTTTAACTGGCTTTGATTTGGAACAGGGACCTAATGGGAACTTCAGAAAAACTTATTCTCTTTTGATTTTCTTTTTAAAAAAACACTGGTGGAAGTTTGGAAAAGTGGCATACGTGTCCTTTAAATTGTAAGGATTTCTGACTGTAGTTGCAATGAAAACACAGTGTTTGAGTGGGTCTGTACAGAATGATTGATTTTTGAAATTGCTTTTAATTCAAAAATGGAGGAATTACTACGAAATGGTATTTTGGAGCCGTGTCAATGATCACACATGTCAGACTAAAGACCAAAATGATTGTCTTATGTGACTGAAAATGATCTGTGGAACAAAACACGTTTTATGGCTTCTGTTGAGCTTCAGTCTCCTGCAGTCCCAGGATTTAACTTACATACACATGTTCTCATACTATACTGTGCATGTTGATTACTTGCTGTGACTCAGGGTGAGACCAGATGACACTGTTTCGCCTGTGTTTTCATGAAAAATCCTGTGCTTGAGCAACTCTTTCAGAAATACAGTGATGTGTTAGAACTCCACTGTCACAAACACAGTGCTGTGCTAGCTAGCTAGGAGTGCGTTCATGTATAGCTGTTGTGTGGAACTTTGGGAGTTATTTTGTGTTTAACTTGGGTTAGTTAGTTTGTTTGTTTTTTTTTAATTGGGAAAATAATTAGTCTTCATAGAATCTCTGGAAGCAATCAGTATTGTGGGCTATTTTAATTTGGAGACACTTTCATAATAAACATAAGTATTAGGAACGTAGTGTCAGCTTTCTTCTCTTTTCTGTGAAATGCAAACATAGCATTTTCCTTTGTTTTAGCTCAAAGATTGTTATCCAAACTGCAAATTCCAGCATTTTTAGAGGAGGTCCGTGTATGTCTTTGAGTTATTCGCTGTGGTGTTTTCTGGCACTTCTTGTACAAGACAGTTTTTGACAGTAAATGTTAGAAGGGCAAGTTCTCTCCATACAAATTAAAAGTAAAAAAGAATTTTTCCCAAGTTTTCAAAAGTAAAATTTTGCATGTTACTGTTTCTGAATGTCCAGCATGTGCCACTTTCGAAAATCTGAGTTTCAGAGTTTCTTAGAAATAGATGTTGATTCAGATATTTCAGGCTAGCCTTTCAATCACCAACTTCTAGCCGCTTCTGGAAATTAGAGAAGGGCCACTGTTGTACCGTTTTTCCCCTCAGAAAAAACCTGCAGCTGTTGATTTTGCCAAGGAAACTACATCGAGGGGTTGCACTGGTGAAACCTTTCAGACTATTTAGACTACTCAACCATTACAGAGTGCACCAGTTCTACTCACTTATTTATGATAGAGTTCTGTGCTTTTTCACTACTCTTAAAAGGAAAAGGGGTAAAAGTTTTCGTCCTAAACAAGTAGCTATCCACGTGCTGTAGTGCACCGAGCTGGAATTGCTTCCTTATGCTCACTCAAGCAGAGTCTACAAAATAGTGTTGTCAAGCAGCCTGTGGTGCATATGAGAAATTATTCATATGACAGGATGGGTAAAAACATTCATGCAACTTCAGAAGAAAATGGAGGCAATAGTTCTCAAAACACAGATATCAGTTGTACAAGAATCTCCATGCATCAGTTGATGTTTTCCTCCAAAAGAGAAGTATTCCTGGGGATTTGCATAATAATTAAAGAACCAATTACGGCAGTTACTATATCTCCATGGTAATATATAGATAACTTCGTTGTGCCTTTAGTATGGCATTTAAATTCTTGTTTATTGAAGAGATTTATCAAGAGATATAGTTATGTGCGTTTGTCCATTTGTATGTCTAATGTCTTTGCTTCCTGTTCTGCATATTCCCCTCTACTTAGGTAGCATAAGGGAGAGGCCATGTGTGCAGAAAGTGGCTCAGGATAATGTGGAAAAAAAGCAGGAATT